ATATCAGTCAATTTTCATCCAAAAATACTTTACAACCTCTTGTTTTGAAGGAAATTCTATCTACTTTTTTTCTATGGAGCATTGCCTATACCTATCTTTACTCAAAAAAAAACTAGAGGCAAAAATGTAAAAAAAACAGAAAATCGAAATTTTTACTTTTTTTTCAAATTGTTTATTAACGATTTTTTTGCATAAAATTTTCCTTTTAATTCTTTTAAATAAGCTATTTCCATGGGAAATTCAATTCTTTAAATAATTGTTCCTATGAACTATAGCGAAATTTTGCTTCGTTTTCGAGCTACAATGAAAAAACTGAAAGGGGTGCATTTTCACCCCTATCTCCAATTTCCACCCTCTAATTTAATAGCACTCCGCGGTTTTTTCATCTAAAATGACCCTTTGAACGATTAAATTTATAGAGCAAAGTACACTTATTTTTTAATAACGAATCGATTCAGGAAATTTTAAATATATTCATTCTGTTTAGTTCAAAGTAAGAAACCAAAACGCTTTTCCAGCGTCACGGAACACCAAAAATAAACTTCTCTCGATGCGCCCCAGCCCTCCGAGGGGACGGTACACGCCCGATTGTTTCGTCTGGACCCGGGGGTAGTTTGCATGAGGCAGCTGCGGTCGGACACGCGTCTGTTCCCGTTATACCCACAACACGCCGAAATAATCACACCCCATCCCCTTCGACGATGCTATTATGTGGAATTTTCTCAAAATTGTAGCGCATTCCATCGGTAGAATTGATAGGAGGCACGTGCGGCGAGCACATGTGTCGTTATTTTCGTCGACTGTCGCTTGTTGCTTCCCCCGATATTGTTTACGGGCGCGCGTCTGATTTTTGCGTTGGGCAGATGGTCGCAGTTGCCAATGGACTGGCAGGTTATTGAACTTTTTGCGGGTTGCGTATTTTTCTTTGTGGGAGAACTCGCTATTAATTCGCGAGCGGGTACGTAGTCCGTCTGTCACATCCGTCACATACAAAAAAAAATATTTAACGCTGACATAAATAAAACAAATGAAGGGCGGAAGGAACAGTTCTAAAAAATGTTCTTGATATTTATCTTCAACAATATAAAATTAGATATTAACAATGTAATATGTGTTGTCGTACGAGATGAGAGTCAATGAGTGAACTGTAGAAAATCGCTATACTTTCGAATTTCCAACCGAAGTGGTCTAAAGAGCAGAACGACAGCTTCCCAGCTCTCTGGCACGACGAACGACAACCAGGCGACGAGAAACGACCAGAGGACTGAAATTTTACGCAACTTGCGAATTCTCCAGCCAACCCACTCTTATTAACTCGAGTTAAGTATTTTTCTGTGCTATGATTTATGTTTCAAAGGGAATAAATGCAATTAATTCAGTACTTAGTATTTTAATTTCTTTTGGACACGCGGTAGTTTGGTGCGTTCAGAGATCACTATTCCGTTGAAATTATCAAAACAAAATTCTTGAGAAGCGCCGTCATATCGCCGCTTATCTTTTCCCAATTAATTAATTTGTTTATTTAGATATTGCGATTAAAAAAAATCGATTTGCAATAGAGATACATTTACCCGGGCACTATTTCGGCTTCTGTTAATTCAATTTATAACTATTACCCTTCACTGGCTACTAACAAATAATAATAATATCAACTAATAAATAATAATACAACATACCCCGCCAAGCAATGCTCTGCACTGCACTGGCAAAGCAGAAAAGCTAAGTGAACCCGTGTACCACACAAAAAAAATATTTACGACCTAGTGGACCAATACAGGTTTGCTTTGATGACTACTACATCAGGCGGACTATTTTACCAATACCGGACTCGCCGAATTGCTATTCGAGTATAAATTACGAGACACTTCATGGTCAAAGCATAGGAAGAAATTTCAGGCGAAGTGCATACGATTCTGTGCTTTAAGATTTACGGGTTCCAATTGACATCGTAACAACTATAACATACTATGCGAAAATTAGATCAGCCAATTTGTATATTCCCGTTTTACCTGGTGATATCGATTCCAAAACTCTTAAACACATCCCGCGATTGTATCTGCTGTCTTTTGTTCAACTGGACGGTTTAATACAGAGGCTGGGTCTGTGTTTTTAACGACGAAGCTAGGCTATCCGGAGTAAATAAAGGATTATAAAAAAATAAACACTTTCGTTTGATGGGTTTTATCTAGCTTGCACGAACAGGGCTTATTTATATTGAAGCAGGCGGCTTAACGACAGTCGGATATAATAACTCCAGGTGGTTGAAGTTTGGCAATAATTTGGTAAAAATCTACCTGCCTCGACGAAAACTAAATCAACCCACAAAGTAAACTGAAAACATATTCGATGTTCATTAATAAACTGGGCTCGTGAATGAAACAACGTACGTGATACATCTTTTTTTTATATGAATTTACTTTCATAGATTCCACGCGAATAAAGTTAGACCGTAACTAATTCATTTTCTACTATGAAGTAGAGTAATGTTAGGAACTGTTTAAAAAAAAATAAATAAATTGAAAACATACACCTAACAGTAAAGTGTATAAAATAATGCCAGCAACATGTTATGAAAAATGTCATAATAAAACATGTACTATTTACATTCCGTGCATCTACTAAAAGCTAATGGTTACACTGAAATGGGTACCTCGATGGACGGTGACTATTGTAAATTGATTACAAAATACGGCCTACTTTCCGCAACATTTCATACCAAAGAACCATTTTTGATTTGTGTTAATACTCTACTAATAATGTTAAACGTCAAACTTATTTGTTTTCAAAGCCTTCTCAGTCAAAAAACTTAAATCGTTGGTATTTTGAAAATTTTATATTTTCCGCAAATCTACACAAAAAATAATAAGTACTTAAAGCATCGTTCTGTCTCGGTGAACCAGGACTACCGGACCGCGAACAATGCCCTTAAAATGCACATATTTTAAAGTCAAAAAAATAACTAGGTGGGACACGCTCGCGTTTGGCAATTAAGTCCATATAGTTACCCTTATTAAGAACAATGAGCTCGCTGACACGTCTGCAACAATAAAAATTAACAACCGTCATTGCGAGGATGAAAAAGCGTCCGTGAAGTTTCCGGTTATAATTATGAAATCCATTCTTCTACAACGTGCGGCAACAAGCTCACGGCTTTCACCGTTTTGTTGGTGAAACCACCGCATCCTGTTGTGGGCGAAGCTTTAATAGCTCGTAAGGGTACTTACTTTAAAATTATTCATCTAGTTGCTGGACAATAGCCCGTTGCAAGCATTGAAAACAAAAAACTCGCTTTACAAGGCCTACACGACATAATTTAAATAATTAGGGCACAATACAAGTTAATTGAATTAATTTTATTTACTTTGAAGAGATCTCTATAAATTCGTATTATTTATATACGTACAATATGAGAAATCTAAATCTGGAAAAAATTACATCAATCATTACCTCAATTAGCGCTAATCTACCGACGACTTAACAAAACCTATTACAGATAAATATGTAATGTCAAAGTAAACATTGGTTTAAACTTTGTGGGTTTTAGATAATTTCAAATACAAACTTTTGAGTCCCATAATTAAACGAATATAAATAAATCTTCCAGGCAACGTTTCAAATTGGTAATAACGAAAAACGCTAATGACGTGTCCTGAGACGTGGTTAGAATTTGAGGAGGATTATTATACAAATGATTTTTTTGTCTGTCTATATAAATAATTCTATTGTAGTACTCTCGGTCCCCCAGTCCAATTAAATTAAATTGTTTCCCTTCACTAGATCCAAGGCAGCAATGAGAACAAGTTTTTTAAAGCCTATAAATAAAAATAAGATACTTTGTTTATTTGATACTCGCCAGACAATAATGTTATATAATAACATACAATTAGTTATAAAATTTGCATTTATTATTTTTCTGAAAGGTGCCAACTTTGACCTTTGAAGCGCCCGCTTAACGACATCAATTAAGGAATAAAAAACAACACATTATCAATCAATTTGTTGATAAACAAAATAAACGGAGCGCCTGGGAATAGGCCTAACCTCACATAAATCACATCACAATTCTGAGGAAACATGAGGAGGGACCGCGCTGCATGCAAAATTATTTAATCAGACTCACTTTGTATTCCGCTGGTGGTTTGTCCCATTCTAAATTCGAATAAAAACTTTGCGTTAACAGAATTTGTTTTTTACCACACTGGTTTATTTTTAACAGTCATACTATCACATTTACTCAAATAACATCACACGAAACTACACGACAGTTAGAGCCTGGCCATCGAAAATAAAGAAAAGCACTTTTATACACACGGACACGATAAAAAACTTGTTAAAATTGTTTTGCGAAAACTGATTTGACAGATAGACAATGAAACAAGCACGAAGTTGGCCGATTATCACAGCTGACGACATGACAACTGGTGGAAGGTGGACGATTGCACAAAACGAAATATCCCTAAGCACGGAGTAAAAACGTTTGTCAGTTCAGGAAATGCAAGGGCTGGAACAGTAGCTATCTTTGTTTTTGTTCAATTTTATTGGTTGGAGTGCTACTGTCACATTTCAGCCAATGATATTACAACGTTTTTATAAAACCATGAAATTTATTAATTTTAAAATCGTGCAATCATGGCAGTGGCATTTCTTTTGTTTTTTTTAGTTGCTTTTATGTTTGTGTTTTACATAAAGTTTAGCTTCGGGTTGAAAGAAGGTAATTCATAAAACATAATCATTGTGCTACATTTTAAAAGTTGAAATATTTGAGGATACAAAGTTTTGTGGGATATGATCACATATAGGTAATGCCTTTGATTTATATACTAAAGTTTGTTTGTTGAAAAGCCGGTCAAAGTAGAGAATGGAGTTATAGTTATTGATTAATTGTTTACATATTGGGAGTAAAGGTTGTAGAGGAAATATCAATTAAACAATAAGCTTACGATAAATTCAATATATTTTATACACAAGTTTGGATATAAATTACAATTATTAGGCATAAATTAAAGTTTGATCTGTGATAAAAAAAAGTCGTGTATACTTTTAATATTATCGGAATATTTTATTTAGAAAGCAAGTCTCTGAACAACCGAGTTACATCAAATGAACCTCCTTAGAAACTAAATATATAATTTACAATCTTTTAAAAATTTATTCTTACACCCACCTATTAAAATCTTTCAAAATAAATTATTTCAAAACTAACACGTTTTCTTTTCTGAGCTCGGAGTATAAGAATGTATTTATATGTCCTTAAACTAGCAGTGTGCAGGGCGAATGAAAATCACTTGATGAATAATGGTAACGATATTTAAAATTAATTCCAATAAATTATATCATTAATAAATACTTGCGCGATTTCAATCGCCCAGCACACGTATATACAATTATAAAATGTTTTACTCTATACTTAATTGTAGTGATGTTACTGATCGTATAAATGAAATATGTTCATGTTACGTAAACATTAATACTGAGTGGTCCGGAAAAACTGGTCGGCCTACCCGCAATACTCCACTACTTTTTTGTTTTAGTTACGAAAGTATTTTGAAATATTTATTCGCTTTCGTTACAAATTTCTCTCCATAAGTTTGATTTCGAATATTAAAGCAGAATTTTCCCGTTTTTATTAATAAAACTTTACATTTCTTCATAGCAAGTCATCCTTTAACGAACGTTGTGAAGTATCGAGGGTAGGGAGGAGCTTTCGGGACTACCCGTAGAACGTTTGTGTTTCACACGATAAACTATCCTAAAATTTTAACCTTGTTTTTGTGTAAGACCAAGGATAAACGCCGCTATTCACAATTCTAACATTATCAGGGTTATTTTTAATATTACAGTCAGTTCCGGGGTTTTATTTGTCATATTTTGGGTTTCCTGTTCGATCGAAATCATAGGGGCAGGCAAAAAACCCAAACGTAAACACATCGTGACAAAATAATACTATTTAGGCTCGAGATACATGTCGAACATGCGAATATATTTCTATAATTTCTCTAGGCATGCAATTCTGACAGATGTATAAATATTAATATATAAATATTCATTGTATAATAAATATGTTCGTAATCAAGCGCACCGGGTCGTTCCGTAGGTGAAACCGTTACAATCGCGGAAGAAAATCGAAATATACATACAAAATCGTCTATGTCTATTTAAGTATCATTTATAAATCGTTTAATTCAAATTTTTGAAATTTAATACAAAAATAATCTTTTTTTAACGAAGTGTTACGCCGCTTTATACCGGTTCCACCTGCCACACCGAGCCGTCGATATGCAAACGATTCAAACATACCTTGTCGCCTATAAAATTCAAGAACTCTACGAAAACCCTGCGTTACCACCACTGCATCTGCTCTACGTGAACGTGCATCCTCTGCTTGATCCACAGTACCGCGAGGTAAACAAATGAGGTGATGGTAACAAAGTACAGAAACGCCGACAAAATACATCCCGAGCCGTGCTCGGACGAATCCTTAGCGTACCTAGCCGCCTTACTGTTCTCCACGGGGTTGTCGTAGCTCTGCACGACCAGCCCGTCGTAGTTGCCGTGGGCGCTCTGGGGATCAGTCTGTTGCAAGTCGTTGGCGTTGCGTTTCTCGCCTTCCACGAAAAAGGTGAGCTTGTAGGGTTGGCTGGTGGACGCCGGTCTGGAGTCGAGTTGTTGGGTCATTGGGGCGTGTCGGGGGGCGAGTAGGTCAGTCTCGCTGGCGTTGAGGTGCGCAATCTCTTCGGGGGACTGCGTGTTAGAATTGTGAGTAGCGGCGTGTGTCAGTCAGTAGCATTTCTTCGTGCAGGCGCACTTGCGCACGATGTCTATGTCTTTGGTGTACCTCGTGCCGTCGTTGCATATCAGCCTCACCTGCAACACGCGATAATTTTGTTGTCTAACCAGTAATTTTCTTTGGAAAAAATTTCATTACACAATTTTTCTACGAATCTCTATTTATTCCTTTCGGTTTTTAAGATATTCTACCCAAATTTTTTTTAAACAGTTCTATTTTTTATAATTTAGAACGCAACTTCATTTTTTGTTTCTTGAAATTACAGATTCAATGAATAAACTGAATGTCTTACCTTCCGTCGTTTGCTTTTCCTGGCGTGGCAGCAGCTCGATCCGCAGCCCCCAACGCACCTTGCTATCTTTAGGGGCTTTCTCGATCTGCAACCGTTTTCCGAATAGTGTTCTCGAAATTGCTCTTTCCTACAAGTAGGCGCTGCAAAAAATGCAATTAGGTAAGTACCTATTAATATTTTAACGTACAAAGCTGTCGCTTTAAAGTTAAATAAATCTTATTTTAAAATGTCTAAATATTTGGTGTAGTAAGTGATTTTAGTTGAAAACTCATTCATATACTTTGGGCAAGGTAGAGGCCTTGAAAAAGAAAAAAATAATAGTTGGGAATAATGTATAATAAAACTCTCCATATTTTTTTATTTAAAAATGTGTCAGGTCACTCTCTGTCAGTAGGTCAAAAGCAATGCAGTAAATATTGAAATTAAAGTTTACCAAAGTCGGCCAATCAATTAGAGAAATGTAACAGTCTAATTTGGCAATTTTTTTTTTTCATTTCATTACGTCGAAAATCGGTAAAAGTAAAAAAGTATTCTCCCTGTTCGAGTCTCGAATCGGATACTTACAAAAACGAAAGAAAGCTCTCTTTACGCCCAGAGTCCATTTACAACAATCAGTCACCTCGAAGCTTAAGCTAGAGCATGCTTAGTAGAAGAAAGTTAGTACCGTGAGGCCCGTCATACTTACACTCTTCCTCACCTTGCTCGCAGTACTTTCCCCTATACCCAGGCCTGCATTTACAAATGTACTCGCCGTTACGTGTCGGCACGCACTTACTGTCATGTCTGCAGTGGTTACCCAGGCACGGGTCGGGCGGACTAGCCGGCTCGCCGACCATTTCGTCCATCTCGTCCTCCTGTTCCTCGTCGTCGCGGTCCGACTCTACCATCCCGCAGCCGGGCTGGACTTTCAGTTGGGTCTTGGCGTTGCCGAAGTCCACCGGTTTGTGGTTTATCCACACCTCCTTCATACAACCTTGAAAAAAAAAAAATACGTACGTTTTGCCTATCGGACGTTCAAAGCTTACCGTGAAAACTGGTTAAATTCCTCAGGTGCCACTGGGTGAAGGCTTGTTCTCCGGGTTCCGGTGGTATGCCGCCGAGGTACATCGGCGTGCTTAGCCGTAAGTAGTCCTTTGATCCCTCGTTGATGATGCTTCGTGCCAGGCCTCTGTCGACCCGCAGCGTGAAGTTCTTTTTTATGGCTAAGAGCTCGACGAAGTGGTACAGACCGTCGGAAACCATTTCGAAACTGAAAATTCGACACCAGATTACTTTTCGTTGTAAAGAAACTTGTAATTTGCCGCTTTTTGACAAGTGGCATCGTAAATTACAAATTTCTTTGCAACAAAAAGTAATTTGAGTTTCAATCCAAGTCCATTTGATTGAAAATCTACTTTAAAATGGGGGAAAGTATGTTATTCGTGCATTAATTCATATTTAGACAAACCATGCAATAAAGTTATGTCATCGTCTTAAAAAACGTCCCGGTTAAACTTATTCGTTTCATTCAACGTAAAAAGTTGCGTTTTTGAAATTTCATCTTACCTGTACATCGTTGAAACCGGGTAGTTTCCGACATCGTAGCTAACCCTAATTCTCCCATTAAAAAGCTCTACCGCCAAATGCTCTTGATGTCCGTCGTACATCAGAACTCCGTTTTCTTGAGTCGTGGCGAACACTATAGTTACGTTTGCTTCGGGTTTCGTTCTGAGGGGTTCTAGTTCCACGTAAGACGTGTTGTGGACGAAACTAAGACTCGTCAAGTATTCACAACGTTTCCCTTAAAATTAAAAATAAAATTACAATTAGTTTGTGTAAAATGTTGACCTATTAGTGCATTTACCCGAATATCCAGGTGCACATTTACACAAATAATCGTTGGAACCCGACGGTTGAAAACACACGCCGTGCACGCAATCGTGGTGTTGACAGGGAGAAGTCTGGGGGTACATCATAGCCACCAAAGGCGTTATTTCGCAGAATTTACCGCTATAATCACCGGCACACTTGCAGATGTAGTCATTCACTCCGTCTACGCATGTCGCGCCGTTCTGTAAACAAATCGGAAAGAAACATACAATTTTGTCGTTTAAAGATCGTATTTTTACCTGACACATGTGGTTCTCGCAGTCGTCTATGTTCATGGAGCAGTTCTCGCCCTTAAAACCAGGTAGACACTCGCAAGTGTAATAAGTATCGTGATCAACGCAACGAGCGTTATTTTTACAAGGGTTATATTGTTCAGTACAAAAGGGAATTTTCTTCTCGCAATAGTCTCCCATAAACCCAGCCGGGCATTTGCACTGGTACGAGTCCACCAGGTCCACGCAGGTGGCGTTGTTCTCGCACTTGTTGTTCAGGCAGTCGTCGATGTTGTGCTCGCACCGCAGGCCCGTAAACCCGGCTTGGCAGTGACAACTGAAATAAGGTTCGATAAAAGTATACAAGGCAAGCAAAACCGCAGAAAACCCTGTTTTTACCTGAAGCGTCCCTCTTCCAATACTTTGCACGTTCCCATATTTCTACAAGGGTTCCCGTAACAAGCGTCTATCATAAACTCGCAGTTTTTCCCGTGATAACCCGGCGCACATTTACATTCGTAGTCTCGTTCCGGTAAGTTGACGCATTTCCCGTTATTCTTGCAAGGGAACGTGTAGCAAGCGTCACACTTTGCTAAGATTTCGTTACTGATCTTCTCTGTAATAAAAACGAATTATTGTACGTCAAATATATGTATCACTAGTCGTTTCACCTTTGCATTGAAATGCTGAAGAAGGCGTTGACAGTATAGACTTATCCTTCATATTAGACGGTTCTGCGCAGTGAGCGATGCCAGGCTCGACGTAGTCCACTTTTACCCAGTCGGAAAGCCACCGTAACGAGCAGTCGCAGTACAGAGGATTAGAACCTAGAGCTCTGAAAAAAAACTTACAAAGATCCGTTTTAATTTTCATTTTAGAGGACTTACATGTGGCTTATGGATTTTAAGTTAGCGAAAGTACCTTCCGGTATCAGAGAAATTTGGTTGCCGTGCAGAGACCTAAAAAAATTGCGTTACAAAGTATTTTGTTAAAACTTTTACGATTCTTACAGTATCCTCAAAGACTTTAGTCCTTGCAATGAATCCCTTTGAACGCACTGTAACTTATTGTAGCTTATTATCAAAGTGGACAATTTCGATAAATTGGCAAACGTGTTGTTCGACAACATCCCTATCTGGTTATTACTCAAGTCCCTGAAACGAAACGAAGTTAAAACCGTTTCCTCCCTAAAATAATCATCGTCTTACAATCGTGTTAGAGACTTTAGGTGCGTTACTCTATCGGCTTGAATTCTATCGATGCTGTTGAAATCTAGGTATAGTTCGGAAGTTTCGGGAGGTATACCACGAGGTATCTCCTTGAGGTTTGCCCTGGAACATCTAACGACGGTCCCAGTACACGAACACATAGGTGGGCAGTAGTTCTCTCCCAAGCACCCTTGATCGTTATCACCTAAGAAAGAATTATTTGGGGTGTTGAGAGGATTGAAGAATTGTTTTCATATAGAACTCGCAAAAATAGATAATTTACACCAAAAATCACCTATAAAAGTTGTAAAATAACATAAACGATTTTCTTGTGTCCGTTTTTTAGACTGTGGCTCACATTTACAGAAACACTAAACTTGTAGACATGTTTTTTATTTGCGGGGAGTGGTGACAAAGTGCAGCTGTGACATCTCGTTCATACTCAGAAACATTTTCATTAAGAAATCTTCCGATACTGTGAGGAATGTTAACAAGAACATGTGGAAAGGCCTGTATGCCAGAAATGGTTGAAATTAAGGAAAAAATTCTAGACAATGTCAAAAACGGGCCGAATGGCAGGTAAAAGTTGTTTCAGTTTTCTACAAAGCGTTCTACCTAAATCAATTGAAGATGTACTTTTACATATGAGACAGTTTGGTTTCTGGATAGGCGGATATGGGTAATGGACCAATTTCTTGGTCCGCTCGCTGCCCAGACCTAAATCCCCGTGATTTTTGGCAAAACTATCTATTTTTACGAGTTCTACACCCTGGCAAAGAGATGCCTTGATATAGTTTGTTAATCTCATGCTTACTGGTACATTTAAACTCGTTCTTAGGGAGTTCCCTTATAAGAACGTCCTTAACTCGGTCTGGACCCGCGCACCTAGGGGGGGAGCCACTTAGGCCTTTGTTTTTCAACCAGTCGGAAAACCAAGCCAAGTGGCAGTTGCACATGAACGGATTTTGCATTAAATTGCTGCAATACGCAAAAATTAATCGACGTTAATAAGAGAAACATCGTAATACTCACAGGGTATGCAGGGATTGCAAAAAATCGAAAGAACCTGGCATGACGCACGTTATGTGGTTGTTGTTCAGCGACAAAACCTTCAGGTGGTGTAGGCCGAGAAACATTTTATTGTGAATTTCCAACAGCTTATTCTCCGAGATCAACCTGAAATTTCATAAAAATAACCCTTTAACAACTATCGGGTGCAGTACTAACTCACAGTTCCGATATCCTAGACGCTCCTTCGAACGAGTTCTCCTCGATGCCCGTGATCTGATTCCTTCTCAAATCCAACTTCATCAGGTTAGGTAATCTTCCAAAGAGGCCGTCCGATTTTATCCGACCCAGTTCGTTGTCGTGTAAGAGACTGGAAACAACGAGAAAATGTCGGGATTTCGTTAAGAACGCACAAAAAACTTACAGTTCCGTTGTATACAATGGTATGTCTCTGGGTATTTCCTTAAAACCACGGCCGGAACAGTCCACGATCGTACCATCGCATGAACACCCGGACGGGCAAGCGTTGTCGATGAGGCACTCGCCAGCGTATCGCGTCCTGAATTCTTCTTGACCTACCATTATCGTACGGTAAATTTTTTCGTTGTAAGCGCTTTACGTAAACGTAGAACCAAGTGAAAGCGTAACAACTATTTTTTTATATATTACATCATAATCAACTAATTGTTGAATGTGTGATCTATTTTCGGATGCGAGTTGGGCAAAACAAAGTTATTTTTAACGTTACATGAAAATGAGGTGAAATTTAACGGAAACAAATTAAAAACGGCAGTATCTACAAATGTTGAAGATGTTTTTTTTACGATTATCATTAATAAAGACTTTAGATTTATAAAATCAGTGAAATATTAAGAATATCTTAATTATCAGTAACAAATAACAGTTTTTCTGTTCGATCAATTTATTGCTGCTTTCAAATAACACTTTTTTTTAGTGTATATTCCAAATCTCGATAATACAGGACGTTTTGAATATAAAAGAGAATGCCGTGAAAAAGTGTTCAAAAACACTTCGTTTTCAAAAACAGAGTTGAATTTGGAAAACAAGTTATACTTTTTTAAATATCTCTGAAGACTTTTGATGTAAGAGTCATGAAAGTTGAGCTAATTATATTTAATTAAAGATAAAACTCCTTTGAATTCGGATATGAATGCTTGTATTGATTGTTAGTCATTCGCATTAAAAACTACAGAAATTTAATGGTACTGAGTAATTTGGAAATACCATCGCTGTCTGTAGAGATCAAAGAATTTAGCAGCAATAAATACGTTAAATATCTTCAGAGATATCTTAGAAAAATAATTTTTTTTTTAGATTTCAATATCCTGTATTTCCGGATATTTATTTATGTGAGTTTTTTTCTATTTTGACCACCCAAATTCAAAATTTTGAATTCCTAAAACATCCCGTAAAGCGTGAATTATTTTTCATATCCGTCGTTTAAAAGTAACCAAACCGACAAACAGAACAACTGCAGACACTGCCTCATAAAAAGCGACAACAATCAGCACTATTAAAAAAACAATGAATGTTAAATGAAACACCATTACCACCGATCTAAGTGGGAAGGTGCTTACCCTTACATTTGAACTTTTCGTCTTTCAACGCCTCGATCTTCCGTCTCTGCATGCGTTTCGGGGTTTCACATCTCGCCCCGGAAGTTTCTATGGGGTTCCGGTGGAGGTATTCGGCGAGCCATTTGAGGTTGCAGTCGCAGATGAACGGGTTCCTGGCTAGATGGCTAGAAAATAGAGGGTCGAGGGAAGACGTTCGGAAAAAAAAACAGAGTTTACTTACAGCGTTTGGATGCTGCGTAAGGAGTCGAAGCTGCCGTTTGCCAGCGATTGGATGTTATTGTCGTAGAGAGACCTGCGAAGATAAAGGGATTGAAAGCGAACGGCAGCGAGGCAAAGTTGGTGTATATTCGTTTTTTAATTAGTGGAATCATTTTTTAAGTACTGAAAATGGTTCCAAAAAAAAAATATTGTCTTTCACAATAAATTAAAACTTGTTTGTTCGAAACGCTGAATCTGTCAATGATTTAAACAAAGTGTTGATCGTTTTTGGTAGACGTATGCGAGTTTTTGTACAACGCGCTCAAAATGCAAATGCGGAACATCACTCCTCATTACTGGTAAACATTTAATGCTTAATTGTATGTCCCTTTCACAAAACCAGTTAATAAGTACAATCTACATATCCCTCCGACCAATAAGACCAAATTAAACTGTCAAAGCGTCAAGACAAGCCAACTATCTCCCGGGTATTATATTTATTTACCCGCGACTTGCATAAATTACGAAATTTACATACGTTCGCTTAATTAAGTCATTATTTATACTTACAGCAGGCTCAGACTATGTAAATCCCGGAAAGTGTCTTTTCTGATGCAAGATATCTCGTTGGCGTTAAGCAACCTGCAATAAATATCAGTTTTGTAACAGAGTTGCGTAATTGTACGATCGTTAGCGTTAGGGGGTACTCACAGAAGCTGAAGCGAGACTAGGCCTTGGAATACCCCTGCTGGCAGGTCCTTTATTTTATTTCCATACAATACCCTGTAAAAACGTGTTAACGATTTCTATTTCTTATTTACATGGTATTTTTAATAAACTTACAGTGACGTTAGAGCTTTGAGGCCTTGGAACGCGTCCGAGGCAATTTTGGAGATTTTGTTGTTGCTCAAGTCGCTAGAATAATAAAGAATGTAATTAATAGAATTGTTTCGAGGCGGGAGGGTGGGTACTTACATCCTTCGTAGGCGTTTGTGTGCTACAAAAGCTTTCGTTGGTATTTCCACGATTTCGTTCTGCTCTAAACGTCTGCAAAAAGTATTCTTTTTTAGTTTTATTAGGCATGTAATATTGGTTAAAAATCTTGAAGTCCCTTTGATATCTATTATAAATTTTTTTGATATACTCTAACATGATAAATTTTTAAGAAACATCGATTTTTTAAAAAAATTCCAAACGTACACCGATCACCCCCTGTATATGTTTTTCTGGGTGTCCATAATTTTAGAACCACCAAAAATAAAATAGTACTGGGGTGTCTGAAACATATCAAATGGTTCTTTGTTTAATTAACTTAGAGGGGGCGTCTCCGAAACTGTGCCAAGAAACAGCCCCAACAGTTGCAAAAATTACGTGCTGGGTATGTCTTGATTCCCATACCCCACGGATTCAATTGAATCCGCGTGCTATCCAGTAACAAGCACCCTTTTTATGTTACCTAAACCGCCCCCGTAGAACTCTAAGGAAATCGTTAACCTTATACCGGCGACATGAAATACCGCCATCTAGCGGAACCGCCACGAAGCATACTTTACCTTGGAAGGGAACTTATCAATTCCCCCACACATTAAAAAGATATATAAATACGCATTTTGTTACAACAATTATTATGTAACAGATGAATTCTAAAGCGACTTACAGTTCGGTGGTTCCTTCTGGCAAATGGTCGGGAACTTTAGTGAGAGCCTTTTCGCGACAATCGACTATGCCGTCAGCGCATCTGCACGGGTGCGGGCATTGGGGTTCGCTGACGCATTCCCCGTTAATAGCTCGTTCCGCCAAACCTAAAAACATACTTTGATATTTAAGACGAATATTTTAAGTTACAAAAAATAATCCCGGTTATATTATTGCCCTCAGACCAAATTACTGCTGTCCCAATCGACCACGTGTTGCCGTGTATTGTGGGTTGCATAAACAACAGCATTGCGGAACAATATTAAAGACTTACCAGAACATTTGAACTCGTGGTCCTGCAGATCGGCCAAGCTCTGTCCCTTCAGGTGGTTGGGCGAGTGGCATCTGGTGTACTGCGCCAGCCTGGGGGAGTGCCGCAGGTACCTGGCCAGCCAGGACAGTTGACAGTCGCAGTGCAACAGATTGTCGCTCAATCGCAGCGTGCGTAGTCTGAACATGTTGCTGAACATGTCCTTACCGATCCACGTGAGGTTGTTGTTGTTCAGGGTCCTGTAAATCGCGGAAAAGTGCGTAAAAATTGCGGTACAAGCTCGATTCCTCGTCGAGTTGGTCTTGAAATGTATTCGTGTGTTTCTGGTGTGGGAAAATCATGGGAGACCGTGTGAATGTGAGCTTTCCCGTGGTCTTCTTTGATTGATTTCAAAAAATTTCATGATATATAAAGACATTCTCTGATATTATCAAATCTTATAAAATTGCTTCATAATTAAAGGTTTTTAAGGTTACTTCTCAATTTATTTTAAATATTTTTATTTTGAATTTCTCCAATTTTCAAATTTTTTCCAAATATGTTTAGTTTTTTCCAATTTTGCGTTATTTTTTCCCACTGTTAAATCTCTTCTTCGGACAACTAGAACTCGGAAGACGGTCAAAATTGGTCTGTATACGTGCAAATACGCAAAACGACAAGTCTCATTTAAACTGTACTGACATTCTTTATACATTAACACCATATCTACTAGTTCTTGATCAGAAAACATTATTTTATATGTCGGCTAAGTAATGCTGCAACACGCAACGCATGTGCACAAGATGCACAAGGCCGGCTTACGTTCATGGTGAATTTTCTTAATTAATTTCCTCGAAAACAGAAGCGTTTAGTTTAGACCATCACATGATTAATAAAAGTTAATCATTTTCGTGTACTTATTTCAGAAACTCCGTGTATAATTAAATTTTATTTAAGCCTTACTATTTAGTATAAATATTATTATGTTGCCACACATTTCTTGTGGATATTTACACTATATTTGCTAATCTGGCCCTTGAAATATCAGAATTAGTCAGCACTGTGAAATTTCTCCTGTCCGTACGTATCTATCCGACATGTCTACCTGTTGCTGCCTCTGGCTGAATCAATAAGGGGATATCCCCTACGCCAGAGCTTACACAGGTAACATTAGCGCGGTATTATCGCGAAGTTGTAATACAGTCACGTATGGTGTTACCCTGACGCTGCTAATCCAGATATTAAAGTTTCGAGAGAGGAAAATGGCTGCAATTAGGGCAACTCAACGCAAATTGTTAAACGTCTTGTTGGGAAAAGTGAAATTTCGTATATTGGACTTACGACTTCAATTTTATTTTATACTTACAAAACTTCCAAGTCTTTCATAGTCCTGAGGGCGTTATCGTCTATACAAGTTATCCTATTATTGTCGAGGTGCCTGGAAAATGATTCAATATTAATTCAGAAGAGATAAAAACCTTTCTCGTGATTATTTTTATTTATTGTTTGTTTCGTCCTGAATACGACCCTGGGTTTGATTCGTAATAATGAAAACGAATGGACGGAATTTCAAAAGCAAAACCGAAGCCGACAAGCTTTAATGCATACATTAGCAAACAAGCAATTTAAAATATATTGCAGGAAGTTAACGGATATATAATTACAGTATAATATCGAGCTTGCCCTTGAATTTCCGTCATTATTATTTACATATTCGAATCAGTACAGGGAGATAAATATGTTTTAGGTAACTGCACACATACAAGTATTACAGAATAAATACGACAGATTCTGTCACATATTTACGTTTGCACCAGTGGCGGCTCGTCGTATGAAGCAACCGAGGCCGGAGCTCACTGTAAAATTTGGCTCTCACACCGTATTACATTTTTCAAAAATCAAAATAACAGTATAAAATAATTGTTTGAATATCGAATCGCCGTTTCCATCGGCACGGCATTGGATACTTTTAGTCCCCGCCACAGCGAGGCCAGAATTCCTTTGCTTGTAGACGCGTCACGCGTCACACTTGCCTATAATATACTACAGTTCCCCCTCCAAGCGAGGCGGTTAAAATAACGTGATTTATGATGAAACTGAGGCCGGCTCAAAGCTGCTTATAGTTTCAGTGTTTCTGTTCGCGGTTAATGCACGCGTCGCATAGTACGCGGATAGTGTCTGATGTCAGTGTGAGGGATAGTACAAAGGCTTTAAGGGTAAGGACAAGACAGGTATTAAGTTAAAGTAAATAAAAAACAACTTCCTTACCACAAAATAAAGTAAGAGTAAATTTAAGTAATTAATAGGTACTTATTATATTATCTAATACCTACATAGGTTGCTAATAATGAATCTATCTCACAATATTGTTTCATCTCTTGAAATATATTTTTCAAGACGTAATGATGTATGCTACTGCTTTAAACACATTAAAATCACTAGTCAANAATATATTGCAGGAAGTTAACGGATATATAATTACAGTATAATATCGAGCTTGCCCTTGAATTTCCGTCATTATTATTTACATATTCGAATCAGTACAGGGAGATAAATATGTTTTAGGTAACTGCACACATACAAGTATTACAGAATAAATACGACAGATTCTGTCACATATTTACGTTTGCAGCAGTGGCGGCTCGTCGTATGAAGCAACTGAGGCCGGGCTCTCACACCGTATATTTTAGAACCTACTATTCTACTATTAACCTAAATAAACAAATAGGTAAAACTAATTTCGAATTACCTATTACATTTATCAAAAATCAAAATAACAGTATAAAATAATTGTTTGAATATCGAATATCTCGTCGGTCGCCTTTTCCATTGGCGCGCATTGGATACTGTTACTCTCCACTAGTCCCCACCACAGTGAGGCCAGAATTCCTTTGCTTGTAGACGCGTCACACTTGCCTACAATATGCTACAGTTCCCCCTCCATGCGAGGCGGTTAAAATAACGTGATTATAACAGGGAACTGAGGTCGGCTCAAAGCTGCTTATAGTTTCAATGTTTCTGTTCGCGGTTAATTCACGCGTCGCATAGTACGCGGATAGTGTCTGATGTCAATGTGAGGTATAGTACAAAGGCTTTAAGGATAATGACAAGGCAGGTATTAATTTAAAATAAATAAAAAACAACTTCCTTACAACAAAACAAAGTAAGACTAAATTTAAGTAATTTAATAGGTACTTATTATATTATCTAATACCTACATAGGTAGCTAATAATGAAAACATCTCATAATATTGTTTTATCTCTTGAAATACATTTTTCAAGACGTAATGACGTATGCTACTACTTTAAACAAATTAAAATCACTAGTCAAAGAATTTCTGAATCAAGAAACGAAGAAAAATTTAAAAATATTTTTAATTATGTGAAAAATATTACTGGACTACCAAGTAAACGGGGCAAAAGTTGCGACGAATTAGAAATATTTTCGAAAGATACATATTTCCTCTTATATTTAAATTTTTTTGCTTTAATCGATTCTTCAAAATTTCTCGAATATACAAACAAATTTCCCAAAAATCATTTGAATGTTTATTATAAATGTATCCAAACGTTTTTGAAATAGATAGACGAACAATTTCGTAATTTAGAGTACAAAAAACGAACGCTGGCGGCGTTGTTTTATATGTACATTAGGATGGCCAAAAAAAAAACGATTTTTTGTGAAAATATGTTAGTTTATCATGTTTTAAGAGCCCCCTCAAAAAATTAGCTCAAAAAAGATCAAAAATTGATTTTTTTTTAAATTTTTTTTTCTCTTTATTTTATCATTTTCTAGGTTTAAAAATATCTCGATTCTGAAAATTTCAAATCGATATTTTAATTTCTAAAGGTCACTCATAATTATTTTAATTTTCAAAGTAGTGTTCCTGTTTTCGAACGACCTCTAAAAAATAAATATCACCGAACTATTTTTTTTTATTGAATTTGATAAACAAAAGAATAGAAATAAATCACACTTAAATTTTAAAAAATTAAAAAATTATAAATATTTGATACAGTACGGTAGTAAATTTTGCCTCGAGAAATTTTTTAAGTGTCTCGTGAATTATATCTATTCTTTTGTTCATCAAATTCAATAAAAAAAATTATTAGTTCGTTGATATTTATTTTGAGAGGTCGCTCGAAAACATTTTCTTTTAAAGTTAAAATAGTTATGAGTGACCTTTAGAAATTAAAATACCGATTTGAAATTTTCAGAATCGAGATATTTTTCAACCTAAAAATGATAAAATAACGGGAAAAAAAAATAAATTTTTGACGATTTTGGAAATTTTTAAATCTTGGGCGACCTCTAAAAAAATTTTTTTGAGCTGATTTCTTTGAGGGGGCTCTTAAAACATGATAAACTAACATATTTTCCACAAGAGACACGAAAAAAAAATAATCGTTTTTTTTTTGGGCCACCCTAATGTATTCGTACATAGATAAGTTGGCTGACTACCTCATGNCGACCCTGGGTTTGATTCGTAATAATGAAAACGAATGGACGGAATTTCAAAAGCAAAACCGAAGCCGACAAGCTTTAATGCATACATTAGCAAACAAGCAATTTAAAATATATTGCAGGAAGTTAACGGATATATAATTACAGTATAATATCGAGCTTGCCCTTGAATTTCCGTCATTATTATTTACATATTCGAATCAGTACAGGGAGATAAATATGTTTTAGGTAACTGCACACATACAAGTATTACAGAATAAATACGACAGATTCTGTCACATATTTACGTTTGCACCAGTGGCGGCTCGTCGTATGAAGCAACCGAGGCCGGAGCTCACTGTAAAATTTGGCTCTCACACCGTATTACATTTTTCAAAAATCAAAATAACAGTATAAAATAATTGTTTGAATATCGAATCGCCGTTTCCATCGGCACGGCATTGGATACTTTTAGTCCCCGCCACAGCGAGGCCAGAATTCCTTTGCTTGTAGACGCGTCACGCGTCACACTTGCCTATAATATACTACAGTTCCCCCTCCAAGCGAGGCGGTTAAAATAACGTGATTTATGATGAAACTGAGGCCGGCTCAAAGCTGCTTATAGTTTCAGTGTTTCTGTTCGCGGTTAATGCACGCGTCGCATAGTACGCGGATAGTGTCTGATGTCAGTGTGAGGGATAGTACAAAGGCTTTAAGGGTAAGGACAAGACAGGTATTAAGTTAAAGTAAATAAAAAACAACTTCCTTACCACAAAATAAAGTAAGAGTAAATTTAAGTAATTAATAGGTACTTATTATATTATCTAATACCTACATAGGTTGCTAATAATGAATCTATCTCACAATATTGTTTCATCTCTTGAAATATATTTTTCAAGACGTAATGATGTATGCTACTGCTTTAAACACATTAAAATCACTAGTCAAAGAATATCTGAATTAAGAAACCAAGAAACATTTCAAAGTATTTTTAATTATGCGAAAAATATTACTGAACCAAGTAATGGGCCAAAATTCATAGGTAGATTCCTCAAGCAAAAATATTGCGATTTAGCCGAACTTACCTTAGTCCAAAAGTTGATAGTTACAGAGATACAGGTTGTTAAATGTAAAATATTTTTTCAGTTTTTTTTCATTTATTCCTTAACAAATGCAAATATCCTCATAAAATTTTGGAGTTTGGAGTTCTTTGGGTAGAGGCTTTGAAATCTGTTCACATTTTGGTTAATGTTCATAGAGGGCGCTAGCTGCAGTAGATTGAATGTGTGGAATATAATATTCTTAATTATTAGGTAAATATTAGGGTGGCCCAAAAAAAACGAATATTTTTTTTTCGTGTCTCTTGTGAAACTGTTAGTTTATCATGTTTTAAAAGCCCCTCTCAAAAAATCAGATCAAAAAAATTTTATCAGGCTTTTAAAAATATCCAAATTCGTCAAAAATTGAATTTTTATTTTCTTAATTTTTTTTCTCGTTATTTTATCATTTTATAGGTTGAAAATAATCCCGATAATTTCAAATCAATATTTTAATTTCTAAAAGTCAAATTATTTTAACTTTAAAAATAGTGTACTTACCTAAAATGTTTTCGAGCGACCTCTAAAAATAAATATCAACGAACTAATAATTTTTTTTATTGAATTTGATGAACAAAAGAATAGAAATAAATTACGAGACACCTAAAAAATTTCTCGAGGCTACTACCGCACTGTATCAAATATTTATAATTTTTAAAATTTTTAAAATTTAAGTGTCTCGTGATTTATTTCTATTCTTTTGTCTATCAAATTCAATAAAAAAACATTATTAGTTCGTTGATATTATTTATTTCTAGAGGTCGCTCGAAAACATAGGTACCTACACTTAAAAAATCAACTTTTGACGATTTTGGAAATTTCTAAAATTCTCGACCTCTAAAAATTTTTTTTGAGCTGATTTTTTGAGGGCTCTTAAAACATGATAAACTAACACATTCTCACAAGAAACACGAAAAAAAAATACGTTTTTTTTTGGGCCACCCTAGTAAATATATCACTTTGTTTGTTTTCTGTTACTTAATTTTACTGTAAATATAATTTTTAGGGTTCTTATATTATAATTAATAATATAATTTTTTAATTTACGGTTATAGTANAGCCCACTCAAAAAATCAGCTCAAAAAATAATTTTTTAGAGGTCGTTCAATGTTTTTAAAAATATCCAAAATAATAAAAAATTACATTTTTTTTTCTTAAATTTTTTTCTCGTTATTTTATCATTTTCTAGGTTGAAAAAAATACCGATTCTGAAAATTTCAAATCGATATTTTAATTTCTAAAGGTCAAATTATTTTAACTTTAAAAATAGTGTACCTAAAATGTTTTCGAGCGACCTCTAAAAATAAATATCAACGAACTAATAATTTTTTTTTATTGAATTTGTTGAACAAAAGAATAGAAATAAATCACGGGACACTTAAAAAATTTCTCGAGGCAAAATTTACTACCGCACTGTGAGTATCAAATATTTAATAATTTTTTAATTTTTTTAAATTTAAGTGTGATTTATTTCTATTCTTTTGTCCATCAAATTCAATAAAAAAAATTATTAGTCCGTTGATATTATTTATTTTTAGAGATCGCTTGAAAACATAGCTACACTGCTTTGAAAGTTAAAATAATTATGAATGGCCTTTAGAAATTAAAATATCGATTTGAAATTTTCAGAATCGAGATTTTTTCCAACCTAGAAATTGATAAAATAACGAGAAAAAAAAATTTAAAAAAATTCCAATTTTTGACGATTTTGGAAATTTTTAAAAATCTTGAGCGACCTCTAAAAATTTTTTTTTGAGCTGATTTTTTTGAGGGGCTCTTAAAACATGATAAACTAACATATTGTCACAAGACACGAAAAAAAAATTTGTTTTTTTTGGGCCACCCTAGTAAATACATACATAACTTTGTTTTCTGTTACTTAATTTTACTGTAAATATAATTTTTAGGGTTCTGATATTATAATTAATAATATAATTTTTTAATTTACGGTTATAGTAAGGCTATTGGCAAAGATCTCCATAATAAAAAATGACTTGGAAATTTATTCCTATTTATTATTTGAGAGCGGATTAATAAAATATCCAAATAGTTGCGTATTATTTTTATAAAATCTGAATGAAAATCCTGTTCGTGAACATCGGTTTTTCTATAATATTGTAAATGCAACTAAAAATTTCCAGATGTATTTAGTCGTATGACTTTGAAAATTTAAAAATTTTTGCCTGCTTCGCTTTTTTTCTCTTTCATGACCACCTAGTAAAAAAACCACGGACCTCGCCATTTCACAATGTCACGAGCCGCCACTGGTTCGCACGTGCATTTCCTGTTCGTGCAAATGTTAACTGTATTCCAATTTCATTTGGTCATAAAAAGAGGAAGATATTTGTTCCTTTTACGTGTCTAGAGGAGAAGTATTTGCAAGTGTTGCGTTGATTGCCGACATGCTAATCTATACAGAGGCACCAACCAATTTTGATGAGAATAAGTGGCCAAACTTTATTTTTCTCGCTTGTTAATACATCACCTCTAGGAACGACTGGTAGTAATAGGAAAATTCCTGTCAGAAAGAAAATTACAGTAGTTTACTATTATTTTCTCTCCGATCCCTGTTGACTTACAAATTTTTTAAGGCCGATACGCCCCGAAGCGTCTTCCTGCCGATGACGGAGATCAAGTTGTGGCTGAGGTCCCTGGAACGACAGAAAATAACATTCAGAACCGTTTCGCTCCAATCAGATAAACTGGAGGGACGACAGGAGATGAGCTGCGTCCCCGTCAAATGAAAGAATTGTTAATTAGGCGGACTGAGGTATGTTTAATTAAAATTTTTAAGCATAAATTTACATGGATTAATGTTACAAATTGGTATTTAATTTATTTGTCATGGTTCGTTGGTTTTTATGGATGCTGCGGTTATGTTACTTTTTAATGGGTCGATTTAATTTTTTTTTTTGTGAAAGGTACACCAAGTCGAGTCCAACGGAATTAGTATTCGGGAAGCGTTGGTTGTAATGAACGACATTTTAAACGTTAGATAATTTTTTCATTCCTAAATAAATCTGCTTCAAAATATATAAAACTTGTTTTATATTTCAGCGTGTTAAAAAAAAGATCGTAAACATCTGAATTAGGGCCCATTTCTAGTGGTGCGTTGATTTCGATGCAAAATGTAATCAGATCGCTGTGTTAACCCTTTGTACTAGTTCCGTTGGACATCTGCAAACCCACTACCCTCTACATACAGCATACATGACGTCGATACAACATATATAGTCCAGACGGTATCTGTTTCAAAGAGTCCATATTTGGGTGAATCGTGTATCCACGGAGATTTTTGGCATTTTGGCTTTCAAATATCACTAGAAATGAAAAAAACGTGGGCTTAACTTTTGGCGGTACAATATGTTAAAAAAATTCGAAAAATGTCATATTTTTCTTCCTATTTAATTATTAGAGAGCGGACAATGTGTGTCTTCAACCCGAAGAATAGGTCAAATTTTGGTAGAGATGTGTACGCGTTCAAAAATGTATTGTGTATAAACTATGCAAAATATAATTATTATGTATAGCAAATATATCGTATTATCCTCGCGAAGATTTGTACCCTTTATTTAAAATCCATAAATCATGTGAACAGGTTAAATAACGAGAAAATAATTAAGTTAATTTAGTTCTAAAGAAATGAAATGACACTCGCGCCCATCTCTAGTCCATCCGTCGACATCGGTTGCGTTTATCGAATTCCTATTGGTCAGAATTCAAACTGCAGCCCTGTTATGAATGGAGCGTGAGTTGGACTATTCTATCATGTGCGTCGCCTGAGG